TGTGTGTGTGTGTGTGGAGAGGGTACTGGGGATTAAACCTAGGGGTGCAAACAACTTGCAGGTTCATAGAATGATCCCCCTCCTCTTTCCTTCTCCACCTCACCACTGGGGGTGGTTAGGATCTTTCTGACCTTTTTCTTTTCTGTTATTGTGGTGCTGGGGGTGGAACCTGGGGCCTCATGCTTGCTAAGCAAGTGCTTTCTACCACGGACCTATATACTCTCAGACCTTTTAAGGAAAAACATGAAAGAATTCATATTTTACATATTGAATAAGTAAAAACATACATTTTATTTAGAGAACTATAAAATGAGTGTCTCTACATGTATTCATGTGCCTGAAAGCAATATGACTTTATAAATACACGAACCCTATAGCTTGGGGTTTTTACTTGCAGTGCATCCTGGGCATCTTTTCTTGTCATCGCAGATTTCTGTGCTTTCTAGTGGCAGCAGCTCCCTTTGCAGGGCTGGCCACAGCTGACTGAGCCAGGCTCAGTCCTGGCATCTGTGTTGTTTGGGCTCTCACAGACGGTGCACAGCTCAGCCCTGCGTAGTGAAGGCCTTTCTGCTGGGAAAGTGGGAGAAGACGGCTGGCTCTGAATAAGCCTGCTCTGCCCTCAGCCCTTTCTGTGGGAACTTCCTGCCCACCTCCCCGGGTGGGGAGCTCTCAGCTTACCCTCTGTGGCTCTTAGGTGGCCAGCCCAGCAGCAGCAGCGTGGGCTTTGTCATCAGGCAGGAGGGGACGCACCTTTGCCTCGCCTTTCCCCCTGCATGAAGCCTGTAGAAGCTGAGTTCTCCCGGTTCTCCACCTGCAGAGCTCCAAACCCTGTGGGCTGCCCTGGCACAGAGGGCAGGGTAGCTGGAACCAGCTGTGGAAGGAGCTGTTAGAGTGGACATTTCTCCCCTACTGATTTATTTGGGTGAGGACAGCTACCCACCTAGGAAAGAAGCCACCAGCAAACAACCAGGAACATATTGAGGGGTGCTGATGGGATCCCAGCTCGGCAGAAACTGCCCCTCCTTTTGCAGTAGGGTGTTTCCCACCACTCAGCAGTGCACCAGTCACTGGGGACGACACAGAGCCTAGGGCAGTGTTGCTGATCAGGCCTAGCTCCTGTACTGTCCCTGCCAGTCAAGCCGTGTGTCCCTGATGCAGTCACTTTTGTCCCTGAATTTAGTCTCTTTATCTTTAAAATGGGGGTCCCTCTGTGAGCCAGTGGCAGAGCTGGCTCCAGTGACCTGATTCTGGAGCCTGTGCCTCCAGACACTGCAGTAGACACTTCTATGTAGCTGGTATCCAGTAAATGTCCCCAATAGGCTAGGTTGTCCCTGATGTCCCCAAGCCCTGCACCCTGCACTTCAGCCTCAGTTTCCCCCACAGTCACCAGATGAGGCTTGTGTCTAGCTCACAGCCTCCTGAGCTTTCCTTCACTCCCTTCCCATCCCTGCTCCTCACTTCCACTCGGCGTTGAGCAGTCCCCGTCTGACCCTGGACTCTGCCCACCGGCCCCACTTCCCTGGAGATCCTGCCCACTCCACAGAGGGTCCCTTCCTCTGTTCCCAGGCCCCCTTGTGGGGTGCCCCTTCACCCCCCCCTGCCGAGTTCCCACGGGCCTCCCCTCCTCCCGCTCCCACTCTCCTGGCAGCTCTCGACAGCACAGCCTTGTTTCCCAGGGAACAATGTGTCTGTGTCACAGACAACAATGTCCTTTCATCTCGGGCGTGCTGGCCTCAGTGCACACTGGGACGCGGCACAAAGGGTGCTTTGTGCCACTCAGGGATGTGAGCTCCTGGCTTTGCCACGTCGGTGCTGCCGACCCAGGGTCCAGTGCCTGGGTGCCAGTTACGCAACAGTTTCTGAGGGCCATGGGGTGGCCCCGGGACTGTGCCTGCCCTCCCCTCCTCCACCTCTGCAAGTTAACCCTTGCGGAGGTCTGCTGCCTGTGCCCACACTCTGCAGCCTCCCACACGCTTCTCTTCCCCTCCCAGCTGGGCTTCGCCGACCTGAACCTAGCTGAGTTTGCGGGCTCAGGCTCCACAGTGCGCTGCTGCCTGCTGGAGGGATACGACACCAAGAACACCCGCCAGGACAACTCCATCCTCAAGGTACCAGGGACCCTGCTGCCTCTCGCATCCCTCCCAGGATGGACCTGACTCCCAGCAGAATCCTCCAGAGGGTTATTAAAATACAGGTTCTTGGGGCTGGGTGCAGCTCAGTTGCCTGGTTCCTGCCTGGCATGCATGAGGCCCTGGGCTTAACCCCTAGCCCAGGGATTGGGGCATTATGTGGGCCCTGGGATCAGGACCTCAGCTTTGCCATCTGTGGTGGGTGGATGGACCCAGCAGCCTGAGGGTTTGGCAAGCATGTTCACCAAGTCAGCCTTGTGCTGAGTGCTTGCCGCCTCCTATCTCACGACTGGTTGAAGCCCCAGGTGTGTGCAGGAGGAGGAGAGTTGAAATATAAGTTCCATCATTTGCCCCTCTGGTACTTGACCCCCAAAACATTGCCTGAGGTCTGAGGGGGGCTTGGTGGGAGAGCATTTGCCTAGCCTGCGAAAACATGAGGCACTAGTTTCCATCAGCAAAACACACACACACACACCCCAATTTGCCCTGCCTGACTGAGGCAGCCTGGCTCCTGTTGGAGTGAGGGGGTAGAATCCGTGTCCTGATCCATGTGCACCGGGAAGCCTGCTCCCACTGCTGGCCATGTACAGGTCTCCAGTGGCCAGGACAGCTCCCACCCTTTGGGCAGCTGCCTCTTTGGCCTCTTGGGAAGAGAGATGTCTGGATGGCCACTACCAGCACACTCTTCCTCCCTCTCCACACCTTTCTACCTGGTTGAGAAGACGGGCTCATCCTAACCCCACCCCAAGAGCTGACCCAGGAGGAGCCAGCTGCGCCCTGTGCACAACTGGGCATGAGATGGTGGCAGGGGTTCCAGAGGTACCAGGAGAAGTCCAGGCTGGCTGTACTGGAGCCAGGCCTTTCAACCTCCCCAGTAGTAAGCCTGTGCACCCTCAGCCAGAACAGGTCAAGGGAGCCTGGGGTCAAGTGGCCTGGGATCCAAGGACATCTCCCTGACATCCCATCTGCAAGGTCTTAGGCAGTCACTTCCCCCAGTCTTTTTTTTTTTTTTTTTTTTAAACTCGGGGCTTTCGCCTGCTTTATAGGCCACTATGGTGACTGAGTGAACAACCCATAAAAACACTAAGCCCAAGCCAGGTGTCTGGTATATGCCTGTCATCCCCGTAATGTGGAGGTTGAGACGGGATCACAAGTTCAGTGCCAGCCCCAGCAACTTAGTGAGACCCTGTCTCAAGATAAGAATTGGAAAGGCTATTGCCTGTCTTTGCCCAAGTGGATATCCAGTTCCTAACTGGCTTCATGCTTTACATTCATTGGACTGTTCCAGCTGCCGCCTGCCTGGTGGACCCTGTGAGCATCCCCCAGACCCATGAGGGGCTCTGTGAGACCTCTTCCCACTCTTGTCGTGGTGGGCTCTCCCTCACACAGCTGGGCACTGCAGATGGGTGTGAATGTGGCCCAGCCCTGGAGGAGCTCCGTGTCTGGTCATAATTTAATTTTCATTTTTATTGATGCATTATGGTGTAGTCAGTGGAGGGATTTGTTGTGACACAGTAGTCCGTGTACACAATAGCTAGTCATAATTTAAGATAAGAGGAGCCGACTTACACACTCCCTGCAGTGCCCAGCCGAGCGGACCCATCTCGCGGCATCTCCCCACCCGCCAGGCAGGCCTCAGGATCCACTGCAGCCTCCACGCAGGAAACGGGTGCTCGGTGTGGGCAGGTGCTTCGCCATAGCCCCAGCCGTGCAGGAGGAGCAGGAGGCTGCTGGGCAGCACGGCTGACCCCTCCCCTCTTCCCATAGGTCACCATTGGTATGTTCCTGCTCTCTGGAGACCCCTGCTTCAAGACGTGAGTGCTGGCTTGGCTGTAGGAGGGGTGGGAGCTCAGGGGATGAGGGGACGGGGACTCTTCCCTCCTCCAGGCCCTGAGGCTCCTGTCTCCATCTAATCCTGAGAGGGGGCACCCAGGTCATACCTATCTGTCCTTCGAAGGCCACCCTCCACTGCCAAGTCCATCTCCATCCCGGGCCAGGACTCCTCCCTGCAGCTGACGTGTAAAGGTGGCGGGACCAGCAGCGGTGGCGGCAGCAGCACCAACTCCCTGACAGGGTCCCGGCCCTCCAAGGCCCGACCCACCATCCTGGGTTCAGGTACCGTTTCCCCACCTCCCACCCCTCCCCTACCCAGGACCCAGGCTTTTACCTCAGCAGCGCCCTGGGGGAGACGGCGCTGGAAAAGGTTGTGGTGGACGGTGTTTGTCTGCCCTGCTTCCACAGACGGCCTAAGCACTGACTGCGCTGGCCACAGTGCTGGGGCCTGCACCACTAGAGGGTGCAGTGTCCCTGCCCTCCTGGCCCTCCAGTCTCAGAGGGAAAATGGGTATTAACCAAACCTTAATAAATCCCAGGCATGTCCACCTGCAGATGTGCTGAATGGGGGGACAAGCCCAGCAGGTGGGATCTGAGTGCCCAGCGAAGGCCTCCCTGAGGAGGGGGCATCTGCACTGTGACCTTGGGTGTGGGACACGGTTTGCCAGGCAGATGAATGTGCTCTTGCCCTCCCCCTTGCTAGGTGAACTTGACTGACCATCACACCTCTTCAGGACCAGTGTCCTCTAAAAAATTGGATTGCTAAAAAAAATAAATAAATAAGTTTGAGGCCAACCTCAGCTACTAAGTGAGACCCTGTCTCAAAATTTAAAAATGAAAAAAAAAAGACTTAGTGACTTAGTTATTGTAATTCATTTTAATGTTTGTGAGTGTCATCCATGTTGCTATGTATTTATCTATAATGTGGTATGTGTATATTAAAGTTTGCATTTCCTAAATAAATAAATAAAAAGTGGGATTGCTAATAGTCACTACATTCCCACAAGAGTAGTTAGAGAGGAGGCTTGCTCCCCTGCCCCACCCTGCTCTCCTTCACCTGACTAGGTCTCCTCCCATACCGCAGCCTCAAGGCCTTTGTCTGTGTCTCCTCTGTGTCTGGAAGACCCTCTCCCTGATGCCCTGTCTGGCTGCCTCCTTGCGTGTGTGATCCAGAGGTCTTGGCATTTAGGCCATCTTCCCAGGGAAGCTTTCCCCTTCCAGCCTGGCCAGGGCCCGCTCCGGATCACT